TTCTAAATTGCTTTACATTGTAGACGTTTTATTTCATTATAATTTTCTTTCATTTTCCCCAATTTATATGCTTTCTTTTATGATGGTCTATTATCATTTTTTGTTAAAACATGTCTGTCTCGTAAATGAGTCCTCGAGGCTCAATGAGACTAATCTGTATAAATAAAGGTTGAATGAATGACTTAAAAATTTATCATTTTGGTTCAAATTTCTGTTTTCTGAACAAGTTATTTAAAAGCACAAAGAGCAAAATGCAGTAAGAGCATGATTTATCTGCTTCATCTTCTTGTTTTCTAATGGTGAACTGAAATGTCTTGATAATGAGATGAGACTAAAAGCTTCCTCTTTGTTTCCTTTTTGTTCTCTGTTCTCGTCAGTAAGAGCAGCCATCCAGAAACGTCTTCTGCTTATGATAAAGCTGAGCTGATGGTTTCTGTTAATGGGGGAATGAAGGCATAAAGTAAAAAAAATATATATATACATGTACTTTTGCATTTCGGTTCAGTGTTGATGAAGCTTGTGTAAAAGATCAAGTGTTTTGCATTAAAATGTATTTGTGTACGTCTGGGCTGATATTTCTGTGCTGTGGTGCATTTTATGCCATCCATCAGTGAGACACCATTCATCTGGAACTTACTGGAATTAAATACAAGAAAAACTCTTCAGCTTCTAGTTTTTTTAATCACATTATTTCACAACTAATTTGTCATATAGCAGAAAACATGGGAGGGGACCCACCAGGGATAAAGCCATTAAAATAATATAAATTCAGACATGAAACTCTTAGAAATGGTGCAAATGAAATGGAGAAAAACATCTTTGTAAGTTTTACAAACTTTCTTTAGCTGCGTGAAGACTGTTCTGCACCATCACTGTGATTACCTTTTAATTGAAATTATAAAATAAATTGGTTATGTCTGTCCTAGCAGCTCAACAAACGTTGAACCCTGTGAGGAAAATCAATACTTGTTTATTGAAAGTTTTTGATCTTCCAGCTAAGATGAAAACGCTTCAGTGGAAACACTGCACTTAAAAATAAAAAGGCAGGGATGGACATTAATGGGCTTTTGCTAATAGATATTTTGATAATTGCTGTAAGATCTAGGGATCCTCTGATCTGTTTTTTTTTTTCTGTCGATCACCAATGCAGATTACCTATAGGCTATACAATCACAGATACCGACCATATGGACTGGCTGCATTTTTTTTTATTTTTTTTTTTCGTTATGAGTGCTACTTGCTATGTGATCTGGAAGATAGGAAGCATAAAATCACCTTAATTTGGACATTAACTTGTTTTTTATTTACTTTTTCCAAGACAAAAAAACATGAAAAACTTGCAGACACAATGCAGCAACTATTCGGTCAGAAGGACAACTGAAAAAATGTTCCTGCTGTCAGTGACAGAATCTTTAAACATTAAGGCTCTCAACAGGATCAGTAGTGCAGAGAGAAATCATATACCACCAAGCCTCTGCAGGTTGCAAAGGTCATCGGTTTTTGTGATCGGCACTGAAAGGCATTGATCGCTATCGGCTGATCATAGTTTTTTAACAGAAATCAGCCAATCAAGATCGGTGGCTGATCGATTGGAACGTCTCTAATAATATCCAAAGAAAGAAAAGTATAGCTTTTAAAAAACCTTTTAAATTTTATTTAAAAAAAAAAACTAAAGATAAAATTACCCAAATTTAAAAATACAAAATTTATGACTTATTTTTTATATTTGTTTAAAAAAAAAAACCCTCCCATTTTAATATTTTTAAAATTTACCAAATATTTATTTTATGGCAATTTTTGGAAAACAAAAAAACAGTATGCCAATATGTCAACGTTTATTGACAGCATCAAAATAAATACATAAATAACAGCAGACAAATAAATGTGTGGCAGAGTTTTCCCCAAAAGACGATACACGGGTTAATGCACATTCTCTTCACATTGGATTATGTCCCTGCAGTGCTCCTCACGACCTATTGGAACATGACTGGATCACTGCCCCCCCCCCCCCCCCCAAAAAAAAAAAAACAACCTTCAGATTAAGGCCCATATAGTATTATCAGTGGAGTGCTAAGAGCATAACTCTTATTACTAGCCGGATGGCACTCACCTGATGATAAATGTACTGTACTTATATAACACCTTTCTATCTAATCAAGATACTCAAAGCGCATTGCACTACAATCTGTGCCTCATTCACCCATTCATACAACACTACTACATCTGTACAAAGCTAATTGAACAAATCATTCTAAAGAGAATAATCAGTGCTTTATCACATTCACACACCGATGGGACACACATTGGAGTCAATGAGGGGTTCAGTGTCTTCCCCTGGGACGCTTCGTCATGTGACTGCTGGTTGCTTCAAACCCCCAACTATTGCAACTCGCCTGATAGGTTTTTCTTGCTTTTTCCTGCATCCCTGAGATGTTGTCCTGTGTCTTCATGTTGACTGCTCTTTTGTAGCACAACTGCTACGCAATAGACTGTATCATGCTGGTGTGATGCTACTGCCATAGATCAGGTCGGCACTAAGCTGGTTTCCATGACTTGTACCTCAGTCATGGCTGTCGTCTGGATATGAGGCCATCGTCACCCCATGTGCATGGCCCCCACATTATGACCACGCTGCCATCATACTCCACCTGAGATCTTAATGGACTGTCAACACAACCTATGGAAACTTTGTGTATGTTCAAAACCATTCTAAACCTTTCACATGTAATGCAGAGCCTACTGGGGTCATGATGTTGGCCTGAAGACCTCACCAAAACCCTGCAAGGACAACCCACATGCTGGTTAATTTTTTTGTGTCATTCAGTGTGAGGCAGCCATTGACTCTGATTTAATGACTGAGACATGGGAAGTGTCCCTGCTGTCCAACAAGCAGCACACCCTCCTACTGTAACGTCCACTTTCTGCAGATACAAGTTTACGAAGCTAAGTCAAGTCAAGTCAAGTCAGATTTATTTATAGAGCACATTTAAAACAGAAACTGTTACCAAAGTGCTTAACAAAAATATCACATCATCAGATAAAAAGTAGCAAGATATATTTACAGCACATGGAATAAAAATATAAAACCAAAAACAATTAGAAACAATGAAATACTAAATCAGATCACGTTGTGTCAAAAGTCAAGGAAATAATAACAAAAAGCATAAACTCAGTCAGAAACAATGAAATACTAAATCAGATCTGATGACCTTGTGTTAAATAGGATTAATAACAAAATCATAAACAGAATCAGCATCAATGAAAAACCAGATCTAAAGCTGATCACCCTGTGTTAAATGTCAATGAGTATAGATGTGTTTTTAGGAGAGATTTAAAGGCAGAGACTGAGGTGGCCTGTCGAATGTTGATGGGCAGATTGTTCCAGAGTTTAGGGCCCACGACTGAGAACGCTCGATCTCCTCTGAGCTTCAGCCTGGTTTTTGGTACGGCCAAAAGCAGCTGGTCTGATGATCTCAAAGCCCGAGAAGGAGTATAAGGATGAAGAAGGTCGGAGAGGTATGATGGTGCAAGGCCGTTAATGCACTTGAATGTCAGCAGGAGAATTTTAAAATCAACTCTGACACGTACAGGAAGCCAGTGAAGAGAGGACAGAACCGGAGTAATGTGCTCAAACCTGTGAGTTCCTGTTAAAAGCCGAGCTGCAGCATTTTGTACGAGCTGGAGACGTGAGAGTGAAGCCTGACTAACCCCAACATAAAGTGAGTTACAGTAGTCCAGCCGGGAAGTAATAAATGCATGGACTAGTTTTTCAAGGTCGAATCTGGACAGAACGGACTTTAGCTTTGCCATCTGCCTTGGCTGAAAGAAGCTCTTTTGTAGAACAGAGTTGATCTGTTTATTAAACTTAAAGTCCGAGTCTAACACTACCCCGAGATTGGTAACTGACTGCTTTAGATGAGGCTGAAGGGAGTGCAGGTTTACAGGATCAGTGACAGTGGCAGAGCTTGGGTTAAACACAATGACCTCAGTCTTCTGATCATTAAAGCTCAAGAAGTTTGCAGCCATCCAAGTCTTGATGTCATCAAGACATTTTAGCAAAGGGAGGATGGAGCAAGAACTGTTTGGTTTTAAAGGTAGATAGATCTGAGAGTCATCGGCGTAACAGTGAAACGAAATACCATGTTTCCTCAGGATTGACCCCAAGGGGAGCAGATACAATGAGAACAGAAGGGGTCCAAGAATGGAGCCTTGTGGGACCCCACAGGAAAGAGGGACAGAAGCAGATAAATGATTGCCAAAGTTAACACAAAAACTCCTGTCACCCAGATAAGAACGGAACCATTCTAGCGCCACCCCTGTAATCCCTAACAGAACATTCTGACTAGTCAGGAAATTCATCTAACAGTTCAGTAAAATCTTATCTTTTGTCCAAGTTTGTTGTTAATCGGCCAAAACGCATACAAAAATAATTTAAATTTTTGATATCCTGCAGTGTTCATTGTGTATATAAATATATCACATATTTTTATTCTCCCACCCACGTCCACACGATACACTCTGGATGTCATGTTTTGAAGAAGTCTGGGTCAGTGTCATGTGGGAGTGATGCAAGTTTTTATTTTTTCAGTAAATTAATATGCTAAATGTTCAGCTTAACAACTGCAGTTTTTCCTCTTAAACCGACTCAGTTTGACTGTAGTTTAAGTTTTAATCACATTTTCTGGACTGAACTCTTGCATTCTTTCACGGTAATCAACTGTCTTACCAAACGGAAAAAAAAACAAAAGTGCCCCCACCATCTGCTGCTGCACACAAATGATATCCTGAGGTGAATGGACTTATTTACTCTGAGTAAACAAACTCATTATTTGCACAGTTTCTGGTGTTTTTTCAGATACTTGGTAAAATTCTGCAATACATATTTATCGTGTCCTCTCTGCACTTCTTCGGTACGAGCCTACAGTCTTGCTCAAACTGATGTCCATTCAAGAAAAGTGGTTCTATATTAAAAGGGTGTTTCTGTCTTTCTTTCTCCCCAGTTTTTCCACTTCTCCTCCAGTGTTTTTCCTCCCCGTGACGGTCAGTTTGCTGGTCGTATCCAATGGCAGGGAACCCCGGCGCGCGGGGATGCTTCCATCGCTCTGATCAACGCCACGCTGAATGACAACGGGACCTTCACATGCTCTGTCAGAAACCCTCCTGATGTCCACGGGTCTCCAAACTCGCACACCGTGCTCACAGTCACCCCAAAACGTAAGATTCTTTACAATTATTTATTCAAAGTTTAAAAGTATTTCCCGTCTTTGGCACATTTGTGACTTGGCAGTCAAAAATAGATTCAGTGTATGAATTGGACATGATTAATTTAAAAACTACTCTGATTTGACTGAAGTGTGCACACAGAGGTCAGTGGGAGGCGTTTCAAATTTCACAGCAAGTCACATGCAGTCGTGATAAATGGAACTAACCACTCAGTGTCTGTTGTGATCATGATGTCAGAACTCTGTTTTTGTTACGTTCTCATCTGTATCACTCGGCTGAAGCTCACTGATAAATACATTACAACACATGTTCATCTGGAAGCTGCTGCAAAGCAACCAGGAAGTTGAAGGTCCCAGTCATCCAGGAGTTGGGCATGAATCTTCTCCTTTTTTTTTTTTTTTTTTTTTTTTTTGTGTACTGATCAGTAGACCCATTTTGTAGTGGGTTTGACATGCATGTCCAGGACTATTGTTTCCTTTGGACTGGGCTGTGCAACATGTTTCAAACTTGAACCTAGTTTTTTTTTTCTCAGGTCTAGTTCGAATCAAGGGCAGCGTGGTGGCACAACTGGTAGAGTGGTGCCTCTCAGCGAGCAGGTCACCCAGGTTCAAATCCCAGCCAGAGATTGTTCTGGGTGGAGTTTACATTTTCTCTCCGTGCATGCGTGGGTGTTCTCCAGATACTCCGGTTTCTTCCCACAGACCAAAAACATGCATGTTGGTCTGATTTGTAATTCTAAATTGTCTCTAGGTGTGAGTGAGTGATTGGTTGATTGTCTCGTTTGTGTCTGTGTCCCTGTGATGGACCGGAGACCTGTCCATGGTGTCCCCCACCTCTCTCGCAGTGATGGCTGGAAATGGGCACCAGTGACCCCACGACACAAAAAGGAAGAAGTGGGTAAAAGATGATGGATAGTTTGAATCATTTAAAATGGGGCTTTGTGGTAAGGCTTTAAAAAAGTTGTGTATTTGCTATAGTTCGTTTTTTTTGAATGACCTTATTTCAGACAAATACAGTTTAATTGTAACCAGATAAAGTAAATGGACTGTACTTGTAGAGCACCTTTCTATCTTATCAAGATACTCGAAGCTCTTTACACTACAATCTGTGTCCTCATTTACCCATTCACACAGCACTCTACTAAATTTGTACAAAGACTAATCAGAGCTTTATCACGTTCATACACTGATGGGACACACATCAGAGGCAATGAGGGGTTCAGTGTCTTGCCCAGGGACACTTCAGCATGTGATTGCTGGTGGAATCAAACCAGAAGTGTGACTGGAGTACGACTGCTCTAACCACTCAGCCACAACTGCCCATAAAGGAGTTAAAATCTTGTCCAAATGGATGCGAGCACTATTTAGTAAACGTCTATGTTGCCTTAAGGTTTTCGTTGCACAGGTATTCTTGCAGAATTATTGTGATGCTACTGTGGTTTTGTGCAAAAACAAATATTTTACATAAACTGAAAAGCTTCCACACATGGGGAGCAGTATGCACTGCGCGGGTTGTGGAGCCCAGAGCAGGGGAGAAGGGTGCACCTGTAGGCTACGAACTGTGCCCAAGTTCTGCACCGGTTGCCAGGAGACTGTGAAAATGTTTGGAGAAATCTAGTTCTTCCTGCTGCAGCTGAAATGCTGCATGCAGGAAGAAAAGAGTGGAAAAAAAGCAAAAGGCAAGGTATGCTTATAATACCCTTGGAGTTTGGAGATTTTATGCTTTTTCAGTGGCAGCACAACAACAGCTTCATTTATTTTAGACTGAGCAGAGCAAAGGTGACGGCCTGTTGGCTCTCTGGTGCAGGGCTGCATCAAGAATGATGAAACTTAAAACGCAGATCAAATCTGCACTGTGGATACACGCACACAAATTCTGCGTTGTTTGTTTAATTCCTTCTGATTGGACGTTCTGTCACAGAGCCGTCTTGTGCTCAAAGTAAAAAATAGTTTAAACTTTGTCAGGCAGCACTGCACACCCAGCAGCAGGCTGTGCTCTGCTCACTGCTCACCACAACGTTTCCATCCTGCAACACGACATCAAACACAAGTGATGTTCTTCCATGTCTTATAGGTGATTAATGCAACATTTATGAAAATGTAAACGTTTACAAAATAGCTTTCACATAAACCACAATGATTTTTTAAATTTAGGATTGAAGTTTTAAGATGACGGCAAGCGATCAACCTTTGTGTTGGTCCTGCTCAGCCAAGCTGTTAGCTCATCAGAATTAAACTAATTCTGTAAACTGAGGTCATTTACTGAGCTATGTACAACAGGCAAGATATTCATAAGCTTTCCACAAAACCCCACATTTATAAATCTGAGTCATCCCTTTTAAGGTGCACATGTTGGAACATTTGTTTAATCTTGCATGACGATGAAGTGAATGAAATAATATATTTCTCAAAATGGGAAACTTGTGTTCTCAAGAAGTATACAGTGAAGGTCCTGGGTTCGATCCGCGGTCATTGCACATCCTGTGGTGCCTCTGAGCAGGATACCCCATCCCCAGTTGCTCCCTGGGTGCCTCCAAAGGCCACCCACTACTCTGCCTGGTCGTGGATGCGTTAAATGCAGAGAGCCAATTTCGCCATTGTATGGGAACATACAATGATGACGATACATACACGTTGTTGTTGTCGTTGTCGTCGTGTTATTAGTCCCTCGATACTTCGTGGTTCGACTTTCACAGACACACTTTTGCTGGTTTTCAATGTAAGATTGTACACGACACACGACTTGCTGTTTGATGGAAGGTGACCAACCAGAGCATCGTGCTGAGGGGTGGACTGGCTATTGGGAGCACCAGGACATTTCCTAGTGGCCTGGCCCACTCTGTGATGGTTGAGGGGCCCCCTCATTTCTTTTTCCGAGGCTGTCTGTCACAGTTGAGCAGAGGTGCACAACCTGTTTTGTGTCTGTTCTGCTGTGACAGACAGCCTCAGAAAAAGAAATGAGGGGCGGGGTGGTGGTGGTGTCTGTCTTATTGGATTGTTTATTTAAAATCAAGCGTGACCCGAACCGACCCTTTAGTTCCCCTCGGCCATCACTGAGTGGGCTAGGCCACAAGGAAATGTCCCAGTGCTCCCGATGGCCAGTCTGCCCCAAGTGTTGATTGGCTCAGTAACTGTAGCCTCAGTCTGTCTGCTCTCTTTCACTGTGCTCTATTAGAGCATTTTGAGTTTAGAACATTAAGAACGTTACAAGAGTGTGAGAAGGGTTTCTAAAGCCTTTATATAGCCTTTATTTCCTGAGGCTTTTAAAAACTCCCAGCCTTGTTCATTACTCAAAACCGCAATCATGGGTAAGACTGCCGACCTGACTGCTGTCCAGAAGGCCATCATTGACACCCTCAAGCAAGAGGGTAAGACACAGAAAGAAATTGCTGAACGAATAGGCTGTTCCCAGAGTGCTGTATCAAGACACATCAGTGGGAAGTCTGTAGGAAGGGAAAAGTGTGGCAGAAAACGCTGCACGACGAGAAGAGGTGACCGGACCCTGAGGAGGATTGTGGAGAAGGGCCGATTCCAGACCTTGGGGGACCTGCGGAAGCAGTGGACTGAGTCTGGAGTAGAAACATCCAGAGCCACCGTGCACAGGTGTGTACAGGAAATGGGCTACAGGTGCCGCAGTCCCCAGGTCAAGCCACTTTTGAACCAGAAACAGTGGCAGAAGCGCCTGACCTGGGCTACAGAGAAGCAGCACTGGACTGTTGCTCAGTGGTCCAAAGTACTTTTTTCGGATGAAAGCAAATTTTGCATGTCTTTCAGAAATCAAGGTGCCAGAGTCTGGAGGAAGACTGGGGAGAAGGAAATGCCAAAATGCCAGAAGTCCAGTGCAAAGCACCCACAGTCAGTGATGGTCTGGGGTGCCATGTCAGCTGCTGGTGTTGGTCCACTGTGTTTTATCAAGGGCAGGGTCAATGCAGCTAGCTATCAGGAGATTTTGGAGCACTTCATGCTTCCATCTGCTGAAAAGCTTTATGGAGATTTCATTTTTCAGCATGACCTGGCACCTGCTCACAGTGCCAAAACCACTGGTAAATGGTTTACTGACCATGGTATTACTGTGCTCAATTGGCCTGCCAACTCTCCTGACCTGAACCTCATAGAGAACCTGTGGGATATTATGAAGAGAAAGTTGAGAGACGCAAGACCCAACACTCTGGATGAGCTTAAGGGTGCTATCGAAGCATCCTGGGCCTCCATAACACCTCAGCAGTGCCACAGGCTGATTGCCTCCATGCCACGCCGCATTGAAGCAGTCATTCATGCAAAAGGATTCCCGACCAAGTATTGAGTGCATAACCGAACATGATTATTTGAAGGTTGGTGTTTTTTGTATTAAAAACACTTGTCTTTCATTGGTGGGATGAAATATGCTAATTTTTTGGGACAGGCATTTTGGGTTTTCATGAGCTGTATGCCATAATCATCAGTATTAAAACAATTAAAGACCTGAAATATTTCAGTTGGTGTGCAATGAATCTGAAATATATGAAAGTTTCATTTTTATCATTACATTATGGAAAAGAATGACCTTTATCACAATATGCTAATTTTTTGAGAAGGACCTGTATATTAAAATAAATACGTCCCTACTTCATGGATTTTCGCCTATCGCGGGGGTGTCTGGAACGTAACACCCAGGATACAGTAAGTGAGGGTATATATGTGGTGTGTGTGTGTATAATTTAAGATGTTTTTTTTCCTGTTTTAGCTGATTTTTGTGTAAACGCTACAAATGCAGCTGCACTTGCCGAGCTGCAGTAAATCTGTGTAGAGTTCATTTCTTGACAGTTGAATGAAATGAGTGTTATAATGTACTGAAATCACCTGATCATGATCACCATGATGAGTTTAACCTTTGACCTCACATTACTCCCCCCTCCACAGCGCCCAGCATTCGTTTCACCGATGTCGCTGTCCTCATCGCCTTCGTCCTCCTCCCCTCCTGCCTCATCACCCCCATTCTGATTGGACGGATGCTCTGTCCCAAGAACCAGCATAGCCAATCGAAGGTCAACAGATCCCCCATAGAGGTCATGGAGGGGTGAGTACATTTCTCCTCCCATTCTCTGCTGTGTCTCCGGGGGATAATCATTAGCAAGTCGAGCATTGACAGTTCTAGATCGTGCATCTGGGTTGCAAATTTGATGAAGATTGAACAAAAGAAACTAGAGGTGAACATTTGGCTTTAGGATTATCTGCTTGATATCAAAACGTGCTTTGAATCAAACCTGGATCAGTTGGTGGAGTTTTAATGCAACTTGGTGCATGGACAAGTGCTGGTTTCTTTTTTGACTGTCATAAATGTTAAGTGACATGCGGTTTATTATAACTTAACAGTTTGTGCAAACCTTTTTAGATGTTGAGTTTTTCTTATTGTTCAGGAATATTTCGTATTTAAGCTGTTTCTTTTTTTCACTTTGAGATTTCCGTTTTATCCTTCTTTCATCCACTTCTTCACATTTAAAGTAAAATAAAATTATCTTGGCATTAATAGTGGCTTAACTAACCTTTGCTCGTATAGTCATAAAGTGTAGCCGCCACATTGTCACTCGCTGGATGATGAACTTTACGTTTTCAGTCTAATCCTTTTTAGGATTTTAGATCCAGAATTGACACTTACTCTGAACAAGACACTGTCTTGTAACCAGCTTTTTAACCTCACATAAATAAGCTAATGATAGGAGTAAACATTTAAATAAAGCTGTGGCGTACTTTACGTCCATCTTAGTCGTTTTCTTTTGACATGTTTAAAACCTAATCACACTGTGATGTCCTGCTGGAGTGTTCTCACTACCTTGTGATACACACTACATAATGCATTTATTGAGTTTTTAGGTGGGGTTTTTAAAATGTAAAAAGGCACCTTTAACAATGACAAAAAACAAAAAAAACGACAAAAAACAAAAAAAACTATCACTTGCTTTGAGAGAAGACTGTGTTTTTGTCCCATCACAGTGGGATAAGGAGCAACTGGAAATGCCATCCATGCATGTTGTGAGTAAACATCTTCCATTTTGGTGTCAGGATGCTTAAAAAGTTTGTTTTGAAAAATGGATTGCCACTAAAAAAATTCAAGATGGCCACCACCATGTATGTAGACTGACCACCCCTATAATTTGAAGAAATTAGGCTTTCTAGTTTTTTTTTTTTTATTGCTTGAAGATATAGTTTCCTCAAATGACTGGGTTGGGACTTGAGGTGGCTGAAGAATAATCCTTGGTGGCCAAGTCTACCATTGGTCACCCCCTGGCTCCACCATTGCACCTGGCATTGGATAAAATTTTTCCCTTCCCTCGCCAGGATCAGTCACTCTGTGCTGCCCACCCTACCTCTGTTCTTCTCCACAGTGCAACTCCTTCCCACTTGAATATCTTGCACCAAAAACATTAAGGTTGACTTACATTCCCCGTTTAATTCCAGTCCAGAAAAACACTCATCTGAAAAATACAAACATTCACAATTCAAATCCCTCAGATGGGGGACATCAGAACGGCTGTGAATTAAAAAGAATGCAGATCTTCCGACACTGAAGAAAAACCCAAGTTATGCTCCAGCCTCCATGTTTTTGAAGGACGTTGATCTTATTAGAACGGGCTTGAATATTACACTTGTCTGTAGGGTTTTCAGATGACCTGTAACATGTACACAAGAAAAACGATTCAACGTAGGGCTGGACGATATGGCCAAAACTTTCATCACGATATATTAATTTCGGTCAATGACGACATAATTCCAATATTGACTACTATTGACTCCTTCTGGAATTGAGCTCTGTGTGTGTTGACGTACACCACACACGGCAACAGAAAAATAAATGTCAGTGAAACGCAGTAATCGTAGCGTAATGTCTATCAAATTATCAAAAATGTCATCCCACCATTGTTGAATAAAAGTATCGTGATCTATATCAATATCAAATTATTGTCCAACGTTAAATATACACAATCTGAAAACGGAATAATCAGAATGTTGTGTAGGTTGGAATAAAGTCACTATCTGAAATGTGCTGTGTATTGTACCCAAGTCTCTGTGATAGTTCAGAAGGTTGAAGTCATCCATTAGTCATAACATTGGTCTTTAATAATGTATAACCTTTAGTCCTAATAGAGTTAATATTTCCAGCTGCACCTCACTTTTGTTCACTTGAACTTTAGGCTGCAGTAAAAATGGACACTGACACGGTCTTCTTGTCAAAAAGGTTGGAAAAGCACACAGCGTACCTGAGTAAACACAAGTCGGACAGCTGAAACAAACCAGGCTCTGAGGTGAGCAGGTGAGCAGGGGGGAGTGTAATACTAAACTCTAGAGAGATTGTTGCCATTACATCAGAGATCCATGTTTATCCCTCATGTTGTTCAGCGAGCTGCCAACATTATTATTATTATTGGTAAATAGTAATACCAATAATACCACTTTAGCCAGCACAACATTATTATTTACCAATAATTCCACAATATTACATATTAATTCATGATGTAAGATTTTCTTTTTTTCTGTTTTGAATTAATTGAACAGAACAATAATAACAAACATTTATTAATATACAATGTTCCTACACTCAAAGGACTGGGAAGAAGTTTACACGCATATAAGGCAACTCCTTCTCCTGTGACCTTATTCCAATCACTTCTTATTCATGAAAAAAGTAAATAATTAATAATAAATACAATTAATAATTAATGAAGTGCATTCCCAAAAGTAGAATCCCTGTGAATATAACCTTAAGACAGTAATACATTGTACATTCATGCAAACAATAATTGGTGATACTAACAATAATAATGATTATTCAAGTGTGATATTTAACTAATTATTTTATGCCATGTTTTAAATTGATTCATGTTTGGACACTGCTTGAGCTCCACACTCGGCCTGTTCCAAAGCTTCACCCCACAGACAGAAACACAAACTGTTCTAATAGGCTTCGTTTGGTATTGACATACTGTACCTCTTAATTCATAAACCTCTTCGCTTCTCTTAGTTTGTGAATATTTTCTGGCAGTTTATTTTTAGCTTTATGCATGTTAGAACTGTTGGTAGTTAACTCTTTCCTTAATTTTAGCAATTTTGATTGTATAAATCGTGAGTTGGTATGATCCAGGCCTCGTTAATTACACTTAATGCTCTTTTTTTGGAGTATGGTTAGTGACTTTTGTGATGCTTTGTAGTTATTTCTTCAAATCTCTGCACAGTAACTTAAGTATGGTAAAACTAAAGAACAGTACAGAATCCAGTGTGATTTATTATTTAATCTAACAAGTTTTAATTTTGTTCAGTATTGAAATACTTTTGAATATTTTACTTGAAACTTATCGTTCATCAGTAACACCAAGACATTTAACAATGTACCATTTCAGCAATCACTTCATTCATCTGTATTCATCTTTTCAGTTCCTTGTCTGTTTTACAGTTCCCAAACATTATTTTGGTTTTGGTCACATTTAAAGACTGTTTGTTACAATCAAAGCATATTTTTAGCTTTTTCATGTCATCAGTGACATCTTTTAACAAACGTTCCAGAGTATAACCAAGAATAAATTTACATTAGCAAATAAAACGGATTTCATAACTCCAGATAGTTTACATATATCATTTACAAACATTATAAAGAATTTAGGACCCAAAACTGACCACTGCGGAACCCCACAAGCAACGTCCAAACAAGAATCCATCCAGAGTACCTGACTTAAACTTGTTCGACTGTGAACACACACTTCCCAGTTTCACATCCTGTTGTCTGCTACTTAAATAACTTCTAACCCATTGTAACACAATCCTTCTAATAATGTTCCAGCAACAGTAAATATGATTTTTATGTGTCAAAACCATAGCTATACCAAAACCATCTTGTGAAATTTTTAGTGTTTTAATTTTTATTACAGGCGTTTTTTTTTATCCTGTTCCTGCGAGATCATAAAGTTCCATCTCATCTAGTCATCTAAAAACAGCTGCTGTACTTTTTGTAGTTACAGATTTTCAGTAGACAATATTTATCATATAATGTGACAAATAGTTTTAGAAATGTTTCATTCACCATTAATGTCTCTGCTTTGATAGATTGCATCCCAATTGTGTTCCATTAAGTCATTTTGAACTTGATTGGTCAAGATCAAGGTTCTTATCATTTGCATCACATTTGGTCCATGAGTTGGAAAGAAATTGTGTACACAGGGTCTCGGTTACATCCGACAATGGCAAAAATATAGATTGTAAAAGAAACGGTAAATAAAGATCTAAGATATAAACTAAGATATACGCTAGTCACTAATAGTGCAAAACAATGCACCGAACAACAGCAGCACAAACATGAGTCTGTGGGTGGATGAGTACAACAGCATGAAATAATCAGCAGCATGAGATCAGCAGCATGGATAATCAGCAGCACATATTCATGTTTTAGCGCTCTAATATATTTTTTATTTTTATTGTTAGTCTTGCAATTCTTGTTGTAAATTACTAAAATGGTTAGATGATCACTGATGTTGTTGATTAATAATCCACCAACTGACTTTAATAAAATTATTATCTATTAAAGTAGTTGAACGAGATGTGATTCTACTACGTCTGGTATTTTTTGTAAAACGGCTTATACTGCGCCTCATCTTAATAAAATCAATTGTATGTTTGTGATTGTTAATATTTATCAAGTCACTGTTGGAATCTCCACATACAAACAGAACCTTGTTAGTTATTCCATTAAATTTACTCTCAGCCAGTCACTAAAATTGTCTGTTGGATGATATATGTGCAATGCATTTTTACTTGGTTTTGTACAGCTTTCTTTTGTTTTAAAGTATGTTTTCAGTCACAGTTGACACATTACCCTAGTCTCTCTTTAATGACTTGACTGTATAAATTGCTACGCCACCTCAACATTTATTTTTCTTTTCATAAACCATAAATCATATCCCTCAACTTGAAAACAGTCGGATCCTATTTCTGTATTCATCCAAGTCTCAGATATTGTAATAATATTAAATGAACATGACAATGTATTTAAATATTCCTTAAATTTATTAAAGTTGGAGTACATCTGATGTTAGAATGATTTTCAAGTTGCCTTCAGATGAAAAAGCTGTGCTTTTCATTCCTTTGTCATAATTTCAGCTAGTGTAGGTGGTTGAAATTTTTAAAAAATATCCGGGTCCATTTCACTTCCAAAAACCTGACGGTCGTATTCTATATATTCAAATGGCTGTAGTTCCAGATTCTTCTTTCGTTCCAGATTCTTCTTTCGTTCCAGATTCTTCTTTCGTTCCAGATTCTTGTTCAAAGTGGCAAAACTTCCCAACAAATCATCAAAATAGGTGTAGAAAAGCTGTACAAATCATCGGGGGACAAACTATAAAAAAAAATTAAAGACCCACAAGGATGCAAGAATACCAGTTCAGTGGTTTTATTAAGGTTCTCAGATGGACTCTGCCAGGTCCATAGTGTAGTGCTGGGAAGGCCATAAACTTAACTAACGAGAAGAAGTTTAGGTAGGAACAAGGTTTCTGACAAAGTCTCCAAAATCTCTCCCTCCCATCTAGTACCCTCCTGTTGCCTTGGTAATGTGTCTCTTGGTCCCCTGTCACACAGCAAATGTCCTTTTTGATGCGGGTTGTCCTTCTGCCTGAAACAGTCTCTGGTCTGGGCCCAGTTATCCCCTGAACATGCCTCCTCCTCTGCCTGACCCTGAATGCCTCCTTCCTTAAGTGCAAACTCTCAGCATCCCGTCAGAAATGAGTCTCCACTGTGACCGTGTGGTCTTTTTCCCAGTCTTTGCCTAGATAGAAATGTACTTGACCTGATGACCACCATGCTAAATGCATGTAGCTGTTCACAGTTCATGAAACGTTCATGTTCAAATAAACAACGTTGATGATGTCATTGCACAGACTCAGCAGACACAGACTGAGATGACTTTTCAAGAATTGCAGTTTTTACAAGTTTACCATGGGTTTAATATTTTTCAGCTCCAACAGCTGCTTGTTAACTTATTTATTTCAGATACAATGTTGTCCGCAGAAATTTATGATAGTTTCCATCTCCACCTTCTACTGCTTATCCCCGAGTCGTTCACAGGCCAGAGAAGATGCATAAATCCCTCCACAGAGTTCTGGGTCTGCCCTGAGGTCTCTTTCTGCCTGGAAAACTTCAAAAATGAGGCGTTCCTCCTCAACTGACTCCTTATGATGCGCAGGAGCAGTGGCTCTCCTCCGAGCTCCTCCCAGTTGACGGAGCTCCTCAGCCTATCTCTAAGGCTGAGCCCAGCCACCCTATGAAGGATGCTCATTTCAGCTGCTTGCATCTTGTTCTTTTGGTCATGATCCAATCCTCATGACAACAGGTGAGGGTTGGAGCATAGACACACTAGCAGCTTTGCTCTTGATTTACTAAACGAGTCTCTCTTGTAAATGAGTCCTCGAGGCTCAATGAGACCAACTTATTTAAATAAAGGTTGAATTTAATGTGCCTTTCAACAAAGTTCTTTCCTCACCATGACTGACCAAAGCATCACTTTCATTACTGAGGGCAAGACCCAATCCTGCACTTCACTCCATCCCATGTCACTCGTGAACAAGAAGCTCAGATACTTGAATTCTTCCACCTGAGACAGTCTCCTCCCTGACCCGGAAGAATTATGTAGTTTTAAAGAATCATTTTTGTTTGTCGTCATTAATAAGCACTTTTCTATTGATGTTTTTCTACATTCTTTTTTTAATGCTCGTGGCTGTCTTGTGCTCAACACGATGGTACTTCCAATTATTTAACTGTCAATAATGGTGTACTACAAGGCTCAGTCTTAGGACCCACTCACTTTACAATCTAGGCTCAGTCTTGGGACCCACTCGCTTTACAATCTACATAAGTAATGCAGGTTAGAACATTTCCTGTCGCATCCTTGCATTTCTATGCTGATGATACAGTTGTTTGTCAAGCTATAACAGTTACTAAGGTTTTCCAGCTTCTACAGTCTGGTTTTGACATCATCCAGTCAGACTTGTTCCATCTCAAACTGGTGCTAAATGCTGATAACGCCAAAGGGATGTTGTTTTCAAACAAAAAGTTGATACCACAGTTCTTCCTCCTATCTTATCCACTCATGATGTTCCTATTGAGTTTGTGGATTCTTACAAATACTTGGGAATTTTGGTTCAGGTACATCTCTTTTAAGACGCTTGTCAAAAATATGATAAAAAAATTTAAAGAAATTGAAACTAAAACTGGGTTTCTTTTTCAGAAATAGTTCTTGCTTACCTCTGAATACTATGAAACGCCTTGTAGCTGCTACTTTCCTACCAGCCATCGATTTATGGTGACATTTACATGAATGCTCCTGCAAGTACCCTGCAGATGTTGCAGATCTATCATGGCACGCTAATATTCATAACTGGCTGTAACTACTGTACCCACCACTGCACCCTGTATTCATTGGTCAGCTGGTCATCATTAACTTAACAGACTCTCTCACTGGTACATCTTCATTTATAAATCACTCTTTGGTCTGTTGCCTTCATACATCTCCTTCATGTCACGTCGTCGGTGCAGTTACAACGTGCGCTCTCATAACATTATGACCTGCAGTGTTCCCTCAGTGTGAAATGAACTTTGCAAAAAGACTTTTTCTTACTCCGCTCCCGTTTCCTGGAATATCTTGCAAAAAGATCTGAAGCTGTTGACTTTGACCTCTCTAAGGGATTTTAAACAATTAAGTTCAATACAAAAATTAATGCAGACATCTTCCTGTTTTTAGTATTATACAGTTTTAAAATGTAACTTGATTTTTATTGTTTTATATCACTACTTTTATTTGTTTTATTTTATATGCATTTTATGACCATTTATTGCTGTGTACCTTATGTTTTTTGTCTAAAACAGGTCTCTCGTAGATGATTCCTCGTGACTCAATGAGACTAACCTGTTTAAAAAAAGGTTGAATCTGCTTATGTCAGTATGCTGTATCAATGTTTATGAACCCAAGGTGTCATTTTTAGTTGAATACTTTCCAGTGATTGTTTTTTGCGCACATTTAGTTTCTAAATTGTAATTTTACTCTTTTTGAAGGCACATTTGATCTGAAGGAAAAACATTTGATTTGATTTGATTTATTCGTGAGACTTGCCTCTTTGTGAAAACAGTGCTTTACTTGTTTTCACTGTTTAACTGGCTGCTGGATTTAGATTAATTTTAACGGAACTAACAGTGAAAGTACTCTTCTGGGCAAGAATAAGCTGAGTTCAAGTTTAAGTTTGGAGTTCAAAAAACTTAACAAATGATTGGGATTTAAAGCATTTTTCTTCCACACCTTTTTAAAACTACTCAAGTAAAATGTCAGAACAGCACAAACAGGCTGTGATAATTGTTAGATTGTTGTCATAATTATCTTTTGTTGTCTGTTCTCCATCAGAGAGGAGCATGGCCCCCACCCACAGGGAGCCAAAGTAAAGGGAGTCGCATGCTGTGACCTACATCTGACGGTACGTTACACAACCTTACATTTTAACACCAACACATCAGCCCATAAATAACTTAAGACATCTCTGCCAGATGCAGTTTACTAAATTAATTTTACACTTCCTCTGTCTCACAATAAGACTTGAAGGGTTGTGAAATATATAAGTTTCAGCCACTGTGCAGTTTTTGTTTCACATGCACCTGTTTCCTGTCCTGGTCTTTTCAGGACTCTGAGGATGAGCTGGATTACTACAGTCTGAAGAAGAGGCCTCCCAGAGACGAAGACTTTATGGAGTCTGGAGTTTAGGAAGCACAGATCTCTTCTAACTAGAGGCCCTGAATGAAAGCCGATGCTGGGCGTGTTGTTGGTCAGTGTCCACCACTCAGTGGAGCTGGGGATGAAGTTTACTAGTTTGGAGGCCACTTTTTGAGTGCTTTCACCGAGTTATTACAACACTGTAAAATATGCAAAACTTGGATATTTTTTTCTAGACGAGCTCCTCTGAGAAACTGTGCCTGATTTTTGTATAATTGAGCTGTAGATAAAGAGAAATTTCTATTTTTCAAGTTGTGATGTGGATATTTTCTTTGTATTTTGTCTGTAAAACGACCCCATCGCTGTTTGATCAGGAGCAAACTGACCCCGTACGTACAAACACAAGAAACCAACATGTGGTGTATATATGTATATATTTATACCTTTATGACTCAGACTGTGTGTGCCTCCTATTTCTGAGAAGAATGTGGATTTTTTGTTGTTTGTCTAATTTATTGCAGCTGTATGAAGTTTCTATGCATTGGAACATTTCTGTTGCATCATTGAGGATAATGAATAAATGATTTGATTTTGAAAATTAGTGTTCTGAATATCTGTACATTTTCAACACTAATGGGACATTTGGATATACACTGGTCATATGTGGATTTTGAATCTTTGGGTATAATTATTATAGTTATAAACTTCTGCAAAAGGTGAAAGGGGGATTGTTTTTTCCTCTGTTATATACCTGTTGAAAGATGGGTGTGTAAAGTCTCTTTTTGAGCATTCACAACCTTTCTCTTCTCCAGTCCATCATTTCTGATTGGCTCAAGATAATTTATTTTAATTTGATATACATACAGTGGTGCTTGAAAGTTTGTGAACCCTGTAGAATGTTCTATATTTCCACATAAATATAACTTGAACGTTTGTTAACTGGTGATCAGTTTTAGCCCATTCTTCTGTACAGAAAAGCTAGCCCCCAACCCCACCCCATCAAAATTCTATTTTGGTCTCATCTGTCCACAAAACATTCAACAGCCTTCTGGTTTGTCCACATGATCTTTAGCAAACTGCAGACGAGCAGCAATGTTCTTTCTGGAGAGCAGTGTCTTTCTCCTTCAACACTGCCATGAACCATTGTTGTTCAGTGTTCTCCTGATGGTGGACTCGTGAACATTAATGTGAGAGAGATGTTCAGTTGATTACTAGAAGTTACTCTGGGGTCCTTTGTGTCCTTGCACACAATTCCACACCTTGCTCTAGGAGTGATCTTTGTTGGTCCACCACTCCTGGGGAGGGTAACAATGGTCTTGAATTTTCTCCATTTGTACACAATCTGTCTGACTGTGGACTGGTGGAGTCCAAACTCTTTAGAGATGTTTTGTAACCTTTTCCAGCCTGATGAGCATCAACAACTCTTTCTGAGCTCCTCGGACATCTGCTTTGTTCCTGCCATGATCCATTTCCACAAACATGTTGTGAAGATCAGACTCTGATAGATCCTGTTCTTTAAATCAATTGGTGCCCACTCACACCTGATCATCCATTGATTAAAAACACCTGACTCTAATTTCACCTTCAAATGAACTGCTAATCCTAGAGGTTCACATACATTTACCACTCACAAATATGTAATATTGGATCATCTTCCTCAATAAATAAATAAGTATACTATTTTCATCTCATTTGTTTAACTAGGTTCTCTTTGTCTACTTGTAGGACTTGTGTGAAAATCTGATCATGCTTTAAGTCATAGAAATCTAGAAAATTGTAAAGGCTTCACAAACTTTCAAACACCATCACTAAACAGTGATGCATACACTTTCCATCTCCTCTGGTCTAGGTCTTACATCAAGGTCAAGGTTAAAAACGAGGATTGTCCAGCCCATTGCTACAGATTGTTGTATAACAGGCCTGTAATGTGACGCATGCAGTACTTTTTTTTTTTTTTTTTTTTTTCTGGCAACAAAAAATCTCAATGACTGACTTTGAAACTTTGAAAAAGTAATTGTTTGACCTTTTGCAGCTGTTTACCTTGTGGAGTAATCCTGAATAAATATAGTTGCCTCAGTTAATCCACTTTAGCCTGCACAAAATTTGCACAAACAGTGGATTTTATAGATATTGAAATAAAAATTTGGTGCGTTAACATCTGAAAGTCAGTCTCATCACATACACAGAGCACTACGTATTGCACTATTTATTTTTGCTTCAACCATCTCCATCTTCTACAGCTTGTTCATTGGGTTGTGGTGGCAACAGGTCCAGGACAGAAACCCAGACATCTCTCTCCCCAGCAACATTTTCCAGCTCTGCCTGGATAATTTGAAATAAATAAGGACATGCCCAGAAAACCTCCAAAGGGAGGCATCCAGAAGGCATCTTAAGCACATTACTGAATGGTTAACTCTTCAAATCAACTCTTGTTTGCAAGAACCACTAAACAAATTTTATGAACACTTTCAGAAATTAATGCAACTGATTAACATTTGGAGTCAATTCAAGATGGCCACCAATCTAATTAACCTGGGTCTAACACACACATGGCTAAAACTTAGTTCCTGTACAGATATTGAGCTACAGTTTAGTGTGGTGGTAGCGGAGTCATTCTCCACACCTGCTTACACAAGGTCTCGCAGTATCGCATGATAATGGAAATGACCATGTTTACAAGGATTGAACAACAAAAATTTAAGATGAAAACTGACTGGAAGGCTGGCCTTCTGAATTATTTTAAGTTTTGCTCGATCTTTTAGCTCGTTCAAGTGATGACAGTCAAGCTGAGGTTTGGATGCACCGAAAGCTTCTGTTGATAAAAATTTCAGCAGCGTTTTTGCCTGGTTTAATTATTTACGAGGACACCCCCCCCACCCCCCACCCACCCCCAAGTGAAGATGAAGATCCTTTAGAAAGCAGCTTCTAGTCAATGTAAGAAAATGTACATTGTTCTGTTCCTTTATTTGTAAGCAGTTTTAGTAAAGCAGAAAGTGCATGACTCTGATCTGTTGCACCATTCATGAATGAGCCTTTTCTTTTGAGTATGAGGTCCAGCTCCTGTAGCTTTACAGTTGTAGGCAGTAGTGTTTTTATCCTCTCTTTTTGAGGGTGCTGAAGCACCCCCAAATTTTAACTCGGCACCCCTGAGAAATAAACAATCAAGATTTTGTAAGGAAGCTCGGTTCTCAAATCTTAAATTCACCAAAATATTTAATACATTTCTAATAAATATGGAATAAATGATGACGGGCTAGTAAAATCAATATTTTTTTTGCACGGGTAAGATCCTCAACACCACCTGTCAATCACTCCAGTAGGCTCTTAAGCAACTGACCAATCGACAACCTTAATTTGTCCTCAAGGCAAACGCCCCTTATCTGCAGGAGCAACACCCACTTTTCCTTAAACAACATTGTTGAGGTTTTGCAATAGAAACCCTTTGCAGCCAGAGGTTTATGGTTGAATAAAAGGTTAATGCTTAAAGCTAGTTGTGCTTTGTTTTGTGTGTAGATATGTTACAACTTCTGATTGCATAAGTTTAGTCTTTGATCCTATGATCCTTTAAAATTCCTATTTGTGACTGAGCTTGTTTACGTCCATATTACCCTGAATGCGCTCAATCTAAGCAGTTGATCTAATCAAGATCAGACATGGTTAGTACTTGGATGGGAGACCTAAGCTTTTGCACTTCCCAAAACCACACCATGGGATACAATGTTCAAGCCAAGAGCTATTGTCAGTACTGGGGGCTAAGCATATGGCTAAGCACTTCTAAAGGTCAGATACTAGAATCGTGCCTGGCTGTAGATACTGATGACACAAATGAAACTTGCAGCAAAACTCAAGTCCTATTACCTGTCCTGCTTTTCAGTCAGCTCACTCAGTCCATCTAGGTTTTACAGTTCACTCACTGCCATGGAGAAACGATTATCATTCCTGCTTTGTCTGAACTGCCATGGCAACAGCTTACTTGTGTCAGGCTGGAAAGTAAAATCCAAAAATTGATTGAGAAAAAGAAAACCTAAAGATTGCTTTTGGATTATCTGAATAGAATAGGTTTTGGAGAAGGTCAAATGTTTTAGTCTGAAAAAATGTCCAACACTGTTCCTGCTTTCAAATGAAATCACTTAGAAAGATCTACTCTCTTTTCTGGTGTAGATTTTTATAAACGCCTAGTTTTTTTCCTCCTAAACTACCATTTACCTTCTCCTGCTGCATCCCATCATCATTTGTAAACCGTTCTTAAACTGCTACATTTGAGGCAAAGACTCCCAAACTAAAGGTAGTCACCTTTTGTTTGTGGCTGAATTAGGATTACCTACATATGATAAAGTAGCTATAATGGTCCATATAAAATAATTTAAAATAAGCTAAGAACTAGGGAAAAAGGTCAAAACGAAGATACAAACACTTTAAAATGCTACAAACGCTGTCTAACATTCATTCAACCTTTACTTATACAGATTAATCACATTGAGGATCGGTGGCTCTTTTACAAGTGAGACTTGTTTTAGACAAACAGACAAAAGTAAGGAAAAGAGAAAACACGAGGAGGAGGTTTAAAAAAAAAAAAAAAAAAACTTATCTCGCACTATGTCCTGGCCGGGGCACAGTGTGAGAGTTGGAAAAAAGATCTTGCACATAAACAGCAGACATAATGACATAATACACTTATGCATGAGGAGGCAGACGAGGGCAGTTAGTTGTCCGTGGACTGTCAGAAAGTTCCATAGTCCTGATAAGATGGCACAGTGTCCATCAGCCAGCTCAACTCTGACACAGATCCACAGATGTCCTTGGGAGGGGAGTGATTGTGTGTGTGTGTGGGGTGGGGGTGGGGGCTCCTCGTTCACGTAAACAACCAGAAGTTTGAGATAGCTGGCTAATTCAAGGCTGAGTGGGGAAGCCAAATTCAGATGACACAATTGTTTTGGGTCAGGCAGACTGCTTGATTTCCATGTCTGCCTTCATAGTTCTGCTGGTACGTCTCAGTAGTGATTCCAAACAGCCAAATTTTGTGGTCACACCACCGGACCGAGCTTGTAGCCTTCTCCAAGGTTGATTCTTTCCCGCCAGTGAGTCCCAGGAGCCGCAAGTGGCCTGCAATTCCAAGAAATCGCATCCAGCTTACGGCTCAGCTCATACAGCATCTGAGTCTGAGAGTTTACCACTCGTTACATTCCTTCATACAAGCCGGGCAGCTTTACCAAGCTCAGAATGGCTGCCAACATTTTCTGCATTTGTTGATAAACCAGGTAACCGCCGACCCCAAAAAGCAGAAATTCTGTTCTCATAAATCCAATTATGTATGCGTCTTCAACATCCTCAACAGATAATACAGATAGATCATCTTCCACTGTCCCCAGGAATCCATATTGTATCCAGCTGCGAGTGT